CAATCTCCTTTTTCAAATGATACTGTGGGAGGGGGCACTTTTAATGCTAATGAGCTGGCCAGAAATTATTACTTGAATCCCCGCAATCTGATGTCCCGCAGATATGTCGGAGGCATACAGAATGATTTGGTCTGACTCGGAGGACTTGAAGATAATGGGGATTGTGTACTTTTCTCTTTTTTTCACCATGTACTATTTTAGTGAATTATTGCTACAATGTTCCATGCAACAATATGGGAATCTGTTACAACTTGGAGACAACGTACCGATGCGATTGCGCGGATGGATTCAGCGGTGTTGACTGTGGCATACCTCTTCAACAAGGTACACATTATGTTTGTTGCGTCCTCAGGCAGGAATGTTGCACAACGATCTTCCGAGAGGGTATCTACAGTGAGGGCACAGTTGGTCTCTGCACAAACTGTGGACAAATCAGACATCACGTACTTTCAGTCCCCATAAAGGTCCAGTTGGTGACCTCCCTCCATTGTTGGATTTATTTTCAATTTCCTGTATTCCAACAGAAGATGCGTGTTCTCCAAGCCCCTGCCAGAACGGCGGCGAATGTCTGCTTCAAGCCAATGATCCTACCCAGGCGTTGTGTCTCTGCTCGGAGGCTTTTTCTGGCCCTCAGTGCGAGAGAGGTAACTACACGCATATAATTATAAATTGATCAGAAGCTGCGTAGCTCTTCATCCCATTCCCAAGCACAATAACCAAATGAATGATAAATGAAGTGAAATTTTAATGCAAACTTTAAAATCAGGTCCAACCTTAGGTGAAGTTAAGGAGAAGCACTGCGTGCAATAATTATGTAACTCAATATGTGAGGGCGCCTTAGATTTGCTCAGTAGTTTTAAATCGTTGTTGTCTTCTCCTAATATTGAATGGGGCAACAGAGGCACTTCCTTCCTCCCTAATTAAGAAAAAAAGGAAACATGCAAGCTGTTATCCATGTCAATTTGATGTTGAGTTATTGTGAAAACGGCCCGGAAAAGGGATAAATCGTGGATGTGCAGATGTACCTTGAATGTGACTGTAAACTATTGTGTTAAACACCTTTTGGGGCACTATTTGTATTTGGTTTGTATTATGCTTGGATACTATTTATCAACAGATTGAGCACTATAGGGAATTGGACACATAATATACCTCCAATCACATTTTATATACACAGTGGTAAGACTGGGTTCAACTGATAAACACGTAGGCCCTACGTTTCTATATTTCGCCATGAAAATGCACCTGAGTGTCGTTGGTCGATTGTTCCCCTCAACCAATCCCATTGGCCATTTATTTTTGTTTTCCAATTCCCTTTCAGACAATCCGTGTTTTCCCCAGCCTTGTCAAAATGGTGGCACTTGCACGGCATCCGAAACTAGCTTCTCCTGCGCATGCGCAGATGGATATACAGGAACCCAATGCCAATCAGGTACTTCAAATAACACTTACTGTTAAAAAACTTACATGAGAAAAGATAGGAAGGTCCTTCTAAAGTCATTTATATAAGAGCATCAGTTGACCTCGGTACAATTAACCAGCTGAAATATCTAAGTCTTGGTAACAAGGCTTTTTCGTGCGTGTCCTGATTATGATTTCAGTCTATAAACTAGGGTCTATGTTGTTGTTTCGTTTTAATGGCGCTTTCATCTACTCAGGCTATTTGCACCAATAACTGTATGTTTATTCATAACCTTTATTAATTAACATCACATTACAGAGTTAGGAAGAAGGTCCAATTTTAGAAGCAGGAGGAAACTGGAAAAGCCG